CACAAGACAGTTTAGAGAAAAGTGGGGGCCACGTGGGACATTGTCCTCTGATGGAGAGACAATGACAATGACCACAGTCTCCACGTTTATTTTATAGGGGTCAGTTAGATAAAGCTCAAGGGAATTTTGCAGACTTAGGGGAATGCTGTGGGCATGGATTTTTCGGGTCCCAGGCTATCTACATGATAAAACTTTCTTCCACAAAGGTTGCAGTTGTCTTCAGCGGTGCTTGTGGGCATCTACTCCCTTCTCAACACCCCCAGGCTTGGGCTGTCACCAGATGCGAGCTTGCTCTGCTTTGCAGATAACAAGCAGTCGAGCATGGCTTTGCCAAGCACTTAACCTGGCTTTTGACATCAGCCTTCACTATCTTCCACATCCCTGTGTTTGTTTCTATGTATTAAGTAGAGCTGCTTTGATGCCGTGTTTTGGTAGTGTGGCCTAATATAGTAGGTATCCTGTAGGGTCCAGTGGCACAGCCTCTCCTATCACCCATGCTGGGTACTCAAGGTGCACCCTTTGTGTGGACGGAGTACACTCTCTTCTTATAGGTGAGACTTGGTTGCTGTTGGTAGATCAATGGGAAGGATTTATCTAGGCCAGCCAGCTGCAAGGACTGGCTGTGACCACTGATCACCCACCACCAATCTCCACCCTCTGCAGAGGATCAGCTGTACAGGGGCAGGGTGGTGGTGCTCTGATGTGGTCGGTAGCTGTCCACAGGGTCTGCTGGCCCTGGGGTTTCCCAGGTGGTGCAGGCCAAGGTCAGCCCCTGCCTGTGTTTTTCCCAAAACGCCCTGTCTGAGCTATAAAGAAATCTAGGATGGCTGCTACTTGTGCTGGGTTTGGAGATTCCCAGATCAAGCAAAACTGATTCTAATCTGGCTGCTGCTAGGGCTCACTGAAGCCAGTTGTTGTTTGTTTGATAGGATTTAGGAGCCAAGACCGGCCATTCTTATGGAAAAGCAGATTGGGTAGGCGCATAAGTTGGGTGGGGCAGAGCCTCTGGAGATCTCCAAGGCAGGTCAAACAATGTTAGGTTGATGGAGTCTCAGGACAGCAGCTTACCAGCTCTTGAGGGGAGAGGATGGGGCATATTGCAAAGGGACATGGCCTCTGCTTGCCTTGATATCAGACACTTCAGTTTCTCCCTGTGTAGCACTGGTGCCTTTTAAGCTGTTACCCCAGTGTTGGAGCTCATGGGGAGTAACTTTGAGTAGGTGAGTCCATATGTATCCTTTAAGAGGAACTGCTTAGGGCTCTAGTATTTCTTCCACTGTCAGTCCCCGCTGTTTTTGAAGCCAGAAGTTGTGGGCACTTATCTTCCGGCACTGGAATCCTGGGCTGGGGGCCTTGGGGTAGGTCTGGGACTCCTTGCTCCCAAGATATCCCTCCCAAATTTTTACCAATGTGGATGAGGGACCAGCCCATTCTGCATGTGCACCCCTCCTAACCGTCTGGATGGGTGTGGTTTCTTTAATTCCATAGTTGTCAGACTTCCATTCAGCTCAATTTTGACAGTTCTGAGTGATGGTTGTTCTATATTTTAGTTGTAATTTTGATGTGCTTGTGCAAAGAGGTGAGCCATGTCTGCCTATGGTGCCATCTTGACCAGAAGTGCATTAATGGTTTTTAATAGGAGAATGAAAATTAAAGATATAAGGTCTGGAAGAACTCCAGTTATTGTTAATAAAACAAGAACAGTTTGTTTACATCAATGTAATTTGGTAGCCAAGGAGAGTGGACTGGAATGTGCATGGGTAAACAATGACAACTTCACTGTACCAGTCAATGGGGGCGGTAGACGCCACTCAATAAGCATGTGGACTATGTGGCCGTCACATTTAAAATGACTGAGCAAGTAGGACAACAAATCTGCATCAAATTTTGTGTTAAGCTTAAACATTCCTTGGCAGAAACTATTTGGATGAATCAGAAGGCCACAGCTATGAGCAACTGGTGATTGGCAGCTTCATCATGACAACATGCCCACTCATGCATCACATCTCATGCAGAATTTTTTAGAGAAACATCAAATCTCTCATGTGACTCAACCCCCTTAAAACCCAGGTTTAGCATTCTAAGACTTCTGGCTTTTCCCCAAACTGAAATCACCTTTGAAAAGAAAGAGATTTCAGACCATCAATGAGATTCAGGAAAATACGACGCGGCAGCTGATGGCAGTTGGGAGAACTGTTTGAGGTCCCAATGTACCTACTCTGAAGGGGACTGAGGTGTCATTGTCCTATGTGCAATGTTTCTTGTATCCTGTGTCTTCTTCAGTAAATGTCTATTTTTAATAGCATGTGGCCGGATAATTTCTGGACAGATGCTATATATACATTTTATATATATTTTATGTGTATATATATATATATATATATATCACCATGCAAAAAGTGTAGAAAGCCAGTATTATCTGTATAAAGTCCACACCAACTGATCAAAAAAAAAATTGATGTCCTTAATTATCTGTCAGGTTTTCGTCTATTTTAAAACAGAGAAGAAACTAATGAGAATTCCACTATAGCAACATGGTCAATTTCTAAAGCTCTCAGTTAAAACCCAATATTTTATACTACATATGTCCTTAGAAAAATAAATCTGGAATATCACCAGTTCATTTTGAGTTAGGCAGAGCAGAGGGAGAATACATCCTGAAAGGGACACTGCAGGTTAAAATTGTCAGTACTCTGAACTTGGAGTGTTCAAACAGGCTTCTCTTCAGCAAACTACAGAGCAAATAAAATTGAATGAAGCCTATTGCATCTACAGGTCCCATGGCAAAGGTTGGGGTCCTGATCCAGGAATCTCGCCACATTGTTCTCAATTTTCAACCAAGAATGCTTAAGTAACCTTTGCAAACTTCAGGAATTCCACACATTTTGCTTCTTGTAATTTAATGGAGATGTGTATAGACTGAGGTTCCCAGTGGCAAGCATTCCGTCTTGCACAATTCAACTTAATACAGGAAGATAATAAAGGGGGATATACTCTGGGAAAGTTTTCTGTAGGACCAAACCTGGATAGCACTTATTTCATGTTTCTAAAAAGTTGGACAAGAAAAGGACACAAAGGTAAAATGCTTATTTTTGCTTCACGAACCGGGTTAGTTATCTTTTCATATACTGTATGTTTTTTTAAAAGACCTTAAAGTATTTAAATATGATAACGATGATATTTAACATTTATTGAGTGCTTACTGAACACCTGCATTAAGTGCTTTAATGCACTATTTTATTTAATCCTTGCCACAACCCCATGAAGTAGGTACTGTAACTATACTCCTGGCATTGCTAAGGATCTGGGGGCTTACAGACATTATTAATTGATGAGTTGAAGTTGAAGCATTTCTATTCTTTAATAGTATTTATTTGTTTGTTTATCTATTTATTTTTATTTTAGAGCAGTTTTAGGCTCACAGTAAAATTGAGTACAGTGCAGAGAGATTTCCTATATACTCCCTGCCCTCTAGTCATGCATACCTCCCCTATTATAAACATCCTCATCAGAGTGATATAATTGTTACAATCAATGACCCATACTGACATATCTTTGCCACCCAAAGCCCACAGTTTACATTAGGGTTCACTTGATGTACATTCTTTGGATTTGGATAAAAGTATAATGACATGTAGCTGCCAAATTGTATCATTCAGAGTAAGTTTGCGTCTACTTAAGTCAAAGCCCGTATTCTCAACCATAATATCTTAAAGGTTCCCAATGTGTGTTGTCCGATCAATAATGGAACAAAAGGAAAGACATATTGGAATATTTGTATTTCAAGAACCCATGGAATATACCGAAAGACATTTGTGTGCAATGTTACGATTAGCGAAGTGCTTTCTCATACTGGTTTCATTTGGTCATCATAATATTAAGAACTTAGGCTCTGGCGTAAAACACATCTGGGTTCATAACTAGCCCTAAAGTTCATTAGCCCCATGACCTTGGGCAAATTAACCTTTCAGTCCCCAAAAATGTGAGACGTGGTAACAATGCATACCTCACCCGATGGGCGTGAGGATTATGAGCCCACAGCACGCAATAAGCAACGCAATAAACGTTTGCGGTCTTGTTTCCTGTATCATGAAGTTCCCAGTTGTTAAAAGATAGGCACTGACCATAAGGTAAGGAGTGGGGCCAAGTTTTCTGACTCAAAGAGCTTTCTGTTTACCCCCTTTGCCCCCTGAAGGGGTACGATGTATATTTATCAGTACATAGTTCTCCGAGCTCCCCTCCCTGCCCAGTTGCCCCTGGGCCCCCGCCCCGGGTTCTGTCAAATAGCCATCTTCTATATGCCCACACCTGGAGGTGGTACGAAGGGTTCAAATAAACTGCCTCAAGCATTTCCTGAATGGGAAAAGATAAACTTAGCCACCGCCCTTACTTGCCTCCCTCAAAACTGCGTCACAAGCCCCCCTGCGAACTGTCACCTGGCACCTCGTTGTTCTGGCCAGAACCCTACCTCCGCGCAGTTGGAACGGCCTCAATGCCAATTGGCTGTCGCCTCAGGCAATCAAGGACGCGGTGGTCACGAGGGGCCTCCCGCGGGTATTTAAAGGCGGTCGCTGCCCAGGCCGCCTCAGTTCCCGCAGTACTCCGACAGGGAAGCGCCAGGGCTGAGAGGGAGCCAGGAGGTAACGCGCAGCCCCTGCCTCCCTGTTCCCCAGCCCGAGCCTTTGCCGAGTTGGGTGTGTGTGTTACCCGGAAGCGGCTGTCAACACCTTCCTCCCCGCCGTCTTTACCCGACACCAGTCCCACCCAACCCACCTGGGCAAGACAACCCCTGGTGTGGAGGACAAGAGATTACCACAGATGAGCCAGTGAGTTAGCCAGCGGAGAAGAGGGGGTCCCCCTGGAGAGGAACGGCGGGATCTCAGCGGCAGACACGAGGTGCTGTGCGGAGAGACACAGGGTGACGAGGCTCTTCAGACCATCCAGTCCGGCCAAATTCGAAGACAGTTTTTTAGGACGCTTTGACTGAGATTATTCGAACCATGACCCAGACTCTTGGTAACCTGGGCGGCGGCTGGGCATCCTCTGCTCCATTTCGCAGTGGGTCTTCCTGCCACCAAAGGCGTAAGGGCGCTCCGGTTTACAAGCCACGGCACCGCTATGGTCCCAAGGCGGAGAATGAGCCCCCGAAGAAACAACCGAAACAACAACACCATTGCGGCCATTGGTTCCAACCACCCCAAAGTCCTTATTGGGCCATGTACTCTCACTGGGGGTGCTGGGGAGGGCCCTGGTGCCCACCTCCAATGGGATATCAGAAGCCCCCAGGGCCAGTGCAAGTGACCCGAATGTATGGTCTGCACCCTGTCTGCCTTTGCTGTTGCTCCTGCTGCCATGGGCCCTGGAACCCGGGCTGGTTGAGGCCTCCTGGCAGGAAGAAGCGGTGGGGCCGCAGAGGCGGTGGCTTGCGCCGCCACCCTCGCCGCCCCTTCAAGAGGAGCCCACCCATGGATGGGAGCACCCTGCTGCGGCCAGTCAACCTGTGTGGGTGGCGGGTGCCTGATATGCGGATGCCAGGCTTGCAGGCACCCCGCAACACCACCCAGTTCATCATGAACCAGATCTACGAGGACATGCGACAGCAAGAAGAGCTGGAGCGCCAACAGGAGGCACGGCGGGCTCAGCAGGCCCAGGCAGGCGGAAACGATGCACCCCTCAGTGGTGGTGAGGAAGACACAGAGCTGCAGGACACCTTCTACGGTTTTGGGCAGAATCCTCTGGCCTTGAGTCCTGACCCTGAGCAGGAAAACCAGTTTCCTGCCCCACAGCTTGTGGAGGAAGAAAAAGAGGAGAAAAATGATGAGCATGACGAGGAGGAGTGTGATGGGAAGGAGGAAGAGAGTGAGGAGGAAGATGAAGAGGCCGAGGCCCAGGATGAAGAGGAGGTGGAAGAGCCTGACTTTAAAGAGGAGGAGGAGGAAGAGGAGGAGGAGGAGGAGAAAATAGAAGAGAAGGAGGAAGCTGAGGGAATAGAAGAAGAGGAGGGGCTGGAGGAGGATGAGCAGAGAGAGGAAGAGAATTGTTTGCCTTTGGATATGCCTTTATCATTCCTGCTGGGGGATGAGGAAGAGAGAGAACTTTATAAACTGTTCCTATTTAAGCCGCCAACAGATAATTCCTAAAGTGCCACAGGAAGCTCTCCTCATGTAATAGGATACTAACTGTTAGAAAGGGATCTGAGAAATGGAATGGAACTGATTTGAGACTAAAATGGATTAGCAACTTATTAAAAACATATTAAAAAGTGAGTTCCATTAATAAAAGTATCCATGTAAACCTCTTCTTTGGCCATGATAAAAATTTTAAAAATTGGTGTGTCTGTGTATGACTATGAGTGGAGGAAGGGGAGCTTTCAAACAGTTTAATTCAAAATGATTAAAGGCCAAATATTTTATTACTACAGTTTGAATGTTTTGTTTTGGTGTCTTCCCCTCTGGACATCCAAGTTTTCTTTTTAATTCTAGCAATGATGAAAACTTTTTTTAATAACAAATTTATATGATTATCTACTTAATGACTGAAATCAATAGCTATTTTGACAGTTACATCCATAAGACATGCCATGTCTACTGAATATCTGTCCGTTCTCTTAACATAACCCAAATCATTTTAATGAAACTATTAATTTAAGTTTTTTTTCTTGTATCTTTTTGACCTTCAGAGTTCATTTTTGAGGGTTGTATTTTGGTAGTCCCATTTGCAGTCTCAGTTGCATCACTCATTTATAGTCCTTGTTCCACAGTGCTATGGATCTTCCTCAGAAGAACGTGAAGTAGCTTCTGTGGAACTGGTTACCTGCCATGTCCTCAACAATCTATACCATGCATGGAGAGGACTCCCCATGGTCAGAAGTCAACTTGCAAATCAAGTTAAAATCCAAGGTAACTGCAAGCAATGGAACATAGCTTAGATTTTGAAGCCATCTTCCTAGATATATTCCTTGTCATAAATTCACATGAATCATAAAAATAGTTTTTGCAAAATTGATTATTGCCTTTTTGGGGGTGAAATATTTCTTGCCCAGTTTTCCTTCCTTATACAAGAAAGTAAAACGAAAATAGATGTAAGCGCAAGCTTGCATGAGCTAATTTCTAATATCTAAATAATTTTTGGAAAATGAATCATTCAAAACAGTAGCTTCTATTTACACATTTTTAAGGAATAATATATGTCTTCCTGAGCACCTAATTCTCATAACTTAAAAAGTTTCCATCCATAGCATATTTCCAGAGTAGATCAACTGTCTAGATGAAGAATTTGAGCTTACTATCTAAAAAATTATATATTCTGACAAACTTCTAAGTATATTTTGAATCATAATTTACTATTTATTTGGTGAAGATAAGACTGTATGGTGATATCGTACCTGGATGTTGACTTTCATTTATATATCCCAGTGTATTGCAGCTTTCAGGGTGATAAGCTGTTAAAAATTTTCTTTTTAAGTATTAAGTGAAATTATTTTGCTTCTCACTTTTTATTACTTAAATATCAGTTATCTATACAGCAATACTTCAGTAGACAAAGGGTGAACAGAAGAAAAACTAATGCAAACATTGTGGGAATTTTATAATGATATCAAAGACCCCAAACTATAGCAGTGAATAAACAAACATTTAATTATATTTGAAGAAATAATTCCCTGAAAGATGCAATTTCTGAGTTACCTATAAAAGTAGTTTAAAATTGGTCACCCATATGCATCTCTAATGTATATATGCGGAGGGAATCCAAGAATTTTGCTCCTAGTCAATCCCAATTCAGGTCAATCAATCTTTACAAGGTGTAACACCAAAACACTTTATTCATGATAAATAATCACCAAGTGTTAAGTATGTTCTCATTAAAGAAATATTTTCATTAGGACTGAATTTTTTCACAAGCACATCTAGACAATTCTTAATTTATTCTTACAAGTTTCTAGTTTTACGTTAAAAAATTCAACACATTGTCTATGCACACACATGATGTTATCCACTAATCATTATAAATGTTATAAACATGAACTTCACCCTAGTTGATGTATCATTGTCCAAGAAATACTTACTGAACTACTAGGCACTAAGCACCGTAAAGAGTGAACCCCCTACTCTCATGTTGTTTACAGTTTAGTAGAAAAGACAAACATTAAATGAAGAGTAAAAAAAATTACTCACTGCAACTATTGTAAAGGAAATGTACCACTATGAAAGTATGTGTCACAAGAGAGCCAAAAAGTGAAGCTGGAGGTGTTTAGGTGTTTGCTATGGACAGAGGGATCTGTGAATCTAAAAGCCCAAGAGCAAGGAAGAACTTATTGCCTTTGAGGAACCGAGGAAAGAAGACCAGAGGACCAGAGTGTCCTAAAGGAGTGGCTAATGAGAAGTAAGCAAAAGCCAAATTATCTGTTCATTTCCATGCTATCTATATCTTCTGAATAGACACCAGCAAAAATTAGAGGACAAAACAGCTATAGATGATTTTCTACTTGAACTCATTTTTTTTTATTATCTAGATACTGTGATGGTCCTTTTACTAATCCTAAAGGTTGATAAAATCATGTCAGTGGGTAAGAAGTTTGGTCATCCCAGCATGCCTATTACCCTTTTAAGAGACCTCCCTCACATGATCATGTAATGACAGGGCCCTAAGTATTATTGCTCAGCATGATTGGAGCACCATAGTTGTAAACTCCTATGGAGAACTTTAGAAAACAGCTTGTTCAGTACAACATGATGATTCAACAGTATGTTGATACAGCTTAGAATACACTCAGTCATTAGTTTTAGAGTTAAGTGTACATTTGAAGAAAAAATTTTCTAAAATAAGCTCATTATTAAAGTAATTTCAAATTTGTTGAGTTAACACAATGGTAATGAGGTGTTACTTAGCCATTTCTTTCCATAATGCAGGTATTCCTTTGTCATTTGTCAGAAAAATAACATAATTTATTTAGAAGGCCTGGGCTTGAAGATTCTTTGCTGCCTATTCTCTGGTATTTTTACATGTATATATTCTGATCTTTTTCTTTTCTAGTGATTGACATCAAATTTCTTGATTTATCTTTATTACTTGGTTTCCATGGCAAGCTAAAGAAACTTTTTTTTCTGTGAAAATATTAGTTCTCGAAGGATGGTAAATATACTTGACATTTAGATATCAACTCAATTCTGAGTACAATTTTATAACATATGCATACGAAGACAGTAATTCCAATATATTTAGTTTCATTAAAATAAACACACAAGGTGAAATAACCAGTCCTGCCAGCTACACCAAACCTACAGTGTCTGAGAAGAAAATGACACAAATAATCACCCCATAGGAGGTCTTGAGCAAGGGAATGAGTAGGGTAATAAAATGGCTTCTTAAATTTCAGCAGCGTAATAAAATGATATATGCAGCTATGTTGTTTACTTAGGTTCAAATTAATGCAATCACAATTGAAAATTACTCAATGCTTCTGAATCACCTTGACCTTAATTATCTCTGTATTTAAAGTAAAATCACAATGTGGCTCTATCTTAACTGTTTTAGTACTAGCATTGTTCTGTGCCTATCAAGGTCAACTGATAGAAGAGGAAGAATCTGGGCGCTTGTGTATTGTCACTGTTGCCTAAGTAACCTGTGGTGGTAGCCTTGTATCTCTGTTTCCTCAAATGTAACTATCATCCTCCATTCCCTCTCAGGTCTTTTGTGAAGACAAAATAAGTGAATATTGAAGAAGAATTGGCAGTTCAGGTTGTTTTTTGTTTTTAGATTGGTTGTTATCCTTCATATTGTTGTGCAAGGAGTTGAAGTGTATCTACCTATGCCTCCAGGATCTTAAAAGCAGCAAGAGAAAAGAAGAAAGTTACCTACAAAGGAATTCCCATAAGACTAACCAGCTGATTTCTCAAAAGAAAGCTTTCAGGCAAGAAATATTCAGAGTGATGTAAAGCAAGGACCTACAGCCAGGATCACTCTATCCAGCAAAACTACCATTTAGAATTGAAGGGCAGATAAAGTGCTTCCCAGGCAAGGTTCAGCTAAAAGAGTTCATCATCACCAAACTTTTATTACATGAAATGTTAAAGGGACTTATCTAATAAAAAAAAATCAAAACTATGAAGAGTAAAATAACCACAAACTCCCAGCTATATCAACTCACAACTGAACCTAAAACACACACACACATACACAACTAAGCAAACAACTAGAACAGGAACAGAATCACAAAAATGGAGATAGCATGGAGGGTTATCAGCAAGAAAGGAAAGGGGGAGAATGGGGGAAAAATGTACAGGGAATAAGAAGCATAATTGTTATGTGCAAAACATACAGGGGGAGGTTAGGAATATTATAAGAAATGGAGAAGCCAAAGAACTTACGTGTGTGAACCATAGATATGAACTGAGGGAGGAAATTAGTGGAGGGAATTGGGGTATGTGTGGAAGTGGGGCAAAAGGGAAAAATGGGACAATCATAATAGCATAATCAATACAATATACTTAAAAATTAAAAAAAAAGAATTGCATTACAGATTTAACTAACTGTGAATCATTACTCACTAAACTACATTTTATAATTAAAATTATGATCTCAATTTCTAAACATGAGATCAGTCTAAATTCACTAACAAGACTCAGGAAATCTCATCTCTGCAATTCTTTTGGACTGAGATATCCAGTTATTTACCTGTTACCACTGAACTAAAAGTGAACCTACTTGTTCTTGAAATTTAGTTTTAGCTTCTGGTAAAATAGTGTGCAAATGCAGTCGTTTGGTGCCTTGCTATCGGCATCAACACTATTGGAACCACCTGAGAGTTTGTTAGAAATGCAGATGCACTAGCTACAGTCCAGACCTACTGAGTTAAACTCTACCTTGTAACAAGTGATATACACACACATAAAAGACCTATAAACTCTCTGGTTTAGGGGTTAAGTCCATTTCAGAGCTTTCATAAGAGTTTTATATTTAAGATTTTTGTTGTGGGTTCAAAATGTCCATTATTTTAGTGTTCTCAAGAATGTTATTGCCATGTTTGACTTCTCTTCTGTAATATCTACCTCTTGAGATTAAATGAGATTATGAATATTTAATGAACAAATACTTAGCTAGTACTCAGAGCAGTGATATTCAATACTTATGAGTTATATTA